GCCAGGGAGCCCGGCCCATAGAGGAAAATGGGGATGTGGAGTAATTGAACTACAGTTCTCAGGAGGCATTGCAGCAGCATAGCCAAACTGAAATATTTTGGTTGTCAGGTGTTTGGAGGGTTTTTTTCTTTTTTCGTGAAAAATCAAAATTATCTGTAGAAAACAGGCACTTGTTCAGAAAAAGTGTGTGGTGGAAAACCCAATTTTTCAAAAAGGAGGAGTCCGGTGGCACTTTAAAGACTAACAGATTTATTTGGGCATAAACTTTTGTGGGTAAAAACCCCACTTCTCCAGATGCACGGGGTGCATTTTTCAAAGTTTTGATGGAAAGTGTTCAACCAGCCATAACCTCCACCTCAGCAGTAGCCCACCTGTGCTCCCAGCAGACAGTGTCCCAGTTCTCCAGCAGGAGCTCCCACCATGAGTCTTCTTCAAGGGAAAAAGACCTTCCCATAATTCCAAGGCAATCGTCTATAGCCCTTAAACCACTACAGGCTCCATCCCGAAGGGGAGGTCCTTTGGCAGGCAGCTTCCCTTGTTATAACACCCCATCTTGGCACCTCAGGATTCAGCTATGTAAATCCATGCGGATTATGCATTTTATGCAAAGTTGCATACATTTAATGCCAGTAAAAATATATAGGGTTTTGCCTTGCTGATATGGTTCTGTCTCTGCTAATGATGTTGAGCTACATCCTAGGGTTAGCCGGTGTTTGACTCGTGCTGTGGGTTATACAGGTGCGGGGAAATGCCTAAAATCCACATCAGGAAACATTTTCATTCACTTCTGAAAGGAAGCAGTGGGGTCTATGGGTGAAAGCAGATGCTCTGCTGCAGGAGACCTGGGGGCCTATCCCATTCTGGGTGAACTTAGGCAAGTCACGTCCCTGCTCTGTGGCTCAGTTTTGTCATCTGTAAAATGGGAAGGATCAGACAGGGATAGAGCACACCAAATTCCCTCTGCAGTTGGGCAGCTGAGTGAGTGTGTGTGTGGGCATGAGGGCATGTGTGTACTAGAGATCCAGTCTTGTGCTTCGTTTCTCAGTCAGATCAGCAGGTGCCAGCTGTCAGTTGTAATTTCCCAGTGAAGGGCTCTAGCATGCAGCGGTGAAATCAGTTTCACTTCAGCACAGACCTTTAGATGTTAGTTATGGACTGTAACTAGCTATAGCTTTCGTCTCCTCAGTTTCACTGCCCAGGGGCAACTTCCCTGGGTTAATGGCTACAAGTCCCTTCTCCCAGGTGCTAGATTTTAAAATAGAATTGCACAGAATGTGGCCAAGGTATCTCACAGAGGGGACTCACTTGGAACTGACTTTCCCAATGAATGCTCCGTCCATTTCCCCCAGCACCTTCCCTGTGCCATGGCTCCTCCCCAGAGTCAGATGTGGGAGTTTAACTCCACGGCCCATTTCATCCTCACCTCTCTGCTGAGCCTGCCATCAGAGGGCCGTGTGTCATGGGTGCCCACCTGGACCAAGACCCACCTAACCCACAAAGAACCACTGGATGGTCACAAGTTTTGGCCACTGCCAGCCTGACCTTGGGAGTTGCAACTCTTCAAATGTCATCCTCTGGGACAAGGATGTCACGTTGTGACAACACCAGCATCACGACGTCACATTGGCCCCTGAAGGCCACATCTACGGTTTATATTCCAGCAGCACCTCCAGGCCCCTTCTGAACTCAAGGAGCAGTTGTGCTTGATGCTGGATATTCACATTGTGAGCGACGCTCCCTGTTAGTGCAAGAGACAAGTCCCCATTGGGCAGCTGGGGAATGGAGACACAGAGCGGTTCAGTGGCTGGCCTGAGGACACACAGTCGGGGAGGTGGCAGAAGCGGGAGTTGACCCCAGGTCTCGGGGCTCCCAAAGCAGAAGGCCACCCTCTCAAAACCAGAGGGGGCTGCATTAGCCCCAAAGGTATTTCAGTTCTGTGGGTGTGTTTCCGTGCAGTGTTTAATGGCTCCTGTGGTTAGGGCTGGGGCTATAGGATAACCAAATCCATATTGGGAGTGTATAACCTAATCCACCAATTGCCACGGGGCAGAAACCCACACAGGCTCCTAGCTGTGCACGTTGGGGCGTCCCCCCAAGGAGAATGCACCAGAGCAGCAGCAGGTGTGGGGTAAGGTTTGATAACCCACTTTCAGCCCCGCTTCTGCAAACATGTTGTAGTTTGGATGCCACTGGGAATGAAGAAGTGGCCAAGGAGCAGGTAACCTTTGAGAGCAGACTGACTTGCACCCCTAGCATGCGCACACGCACACATGCGCATGCCGGTGGTTTTTTCAGACTGGCTTTTCTCCACCTTCCACACCCAGCAGAGCGTGGGGCTGGCTGCCAGCTGGGAAAGCTGTCTCCTGTCCTTGGCCAGCCTGTGCAGGGTGAGGATGCAAGATGCAAACTGGCCTGGGCATGGGAAGCAGGGCCAGCCTGGAGGGAGTGGCAGTTCAACTGTCCTGACTGCAAAAAGCCCAACGAGCAGAACATGGGGGAAGTGGCAGCCGCAGCTGTCTGCCTGTCCTGATGCCGCTGTCTAGTGCTCTGAGTAGGGCAAAGGGGAATTATTAAGGAAGCCTAGGTTGCGTGTGAGGGTGGGTGCTCACCTGGGCTGCACACCCCTCCCGGGAGGAATGCACAGAGCCAGGTGGGGGAGCGTGCAGTTCCCAGGGCTGGGGCATCCTCGCCGGGCAACGTGATGACAGGGTGGGGGGAAGCTCACAACAGATGACCTTTGCTGTAGCTCCTCGAGCAGAGTCGTGGGAAGTCGAATGCTCCAACTTGCTTCCCAGAAAAGAGGCTGGCAGGGGAATCCACCCTCAACATAGCAAACTCCCACTCAGATGGTCCTCCCTTGGCCAGGCTGCAACCCCCAGCAGCGGAGGAGAAATAGTCACCCTCATGGAGTTGTGGCTGTAAACTTAGGCTGTAATGTATTATTATGAATGACGTGTGATTAATAAAGGGGGTAGTTTCGCTTGATGGGAATTTCATATCCTGTTAAACAGAAGGTGTTGAAAGGCCCTCTTTAAATGAAGGGTTGGTTGGGAGAATGTCAAGCCAAAACTTTTAATCTCTAGTCAGATTTTGAGTCTGTAAATATGGCTCTGTATTCAAGACTTACTCAATGCAAGTCTCTGAAGGGATGGTAGAGAAATCACTCCGCCTGTATGTTTTCTGGTTTCACTTGACTATGGGGCCGGCCTTGTGCAGCATGTCCCACTCCTTCCCCAGAAGTGGCTGCATTTTGGTGGGGCTGTGAGTAGACAGTCAGGATGCATGGGAATGAAAGATATTATGGGAAGGTCAGAGGTCATTAGGGATGGGCACAGTGGGGAGTACTGCTCTTTGCAAATGTCCCTGCCCCAATGCTCCCCCCACCCCCCCCAGCTCCCTGCTCTGACGCCCCCACTGCTCCCAACCCTGCGTTCACCTATTTGTAAGTACATTTGTACTTAAGTATTTAAAGTACTCTACGTGCTTGTACTTAAGTACTTTACATATTCTGTACTTAGTGCTTGTATTTCAATACATTCTAAAAGTACAGAAAGGATAGCTTTCTTTTATCTTCGAGTACCTTTTCAAAATAGTTTTTGGAAACAATCACCTGCCTCCCCACTATCCCATATTCTGTTTGGCCCTTAGAACCTGGCTTGGGAGCTTCAGGCCCTGAGTTCTGGCTGCCAGGGCTTTTTTCTTGCTTGGTAGAAAACGTGAAGGCAGGACTTAGAAAACGGTTTCGGAATATTTTGGTCTGTGATACAGCTGTGACTAGCAGAAGTACAAAGTCATTTGTTGCTGCTTCCGTATCCCAGACATTTTTTAAGTTGCGTTGGCTGCAGAATCAAGATTAGAGAAAAAATGTAAAGGACCTGGGTTTTTTAATAAGGTCTGGATTGTTGTGACAACCTACTGAAGCATAATGATCAAGCTACTGCATCCGAAGCTAACTAGCTGTAAGTAACAGAAAGGAAATTTATACATTTATTTACATTGGTAAGAGATTTTTTTCATTCTTATTCCGTGCTGCCTTGTGTAGATGAATAAAAAGTCATTGTTGCTCTTTTTCTTTCTCTTCCACTATGTGCTTTTATAGTTTACGTAGTTGTCCATATATTAACCAGACAATCGCAGGGAATACAGGAGCTGGAAATACTTGCACGTATACTTTTAAACACATAAATACTATCTCCACTGCATACTTGTACTCCTATGTACTTCTGTAATGCTGTACTTGGCATCTAGACTTAAGTGCTTTTTATCTGTACTTATGGCAACCCTGCGGGAGCAGCGCCGCTTCCTCCCCAGTTCCCAGCCCTGATACTCCTCCAAACTCCAGCCCTGATGCCCACCAGTCCCCAGTGCCCCCCAGTCTCCATAAGTCCTGATGCCTCCCAGCCCCAAATGCCCCTTGATCTCCCAGTCCTGATACCACCAGCCCTGATGCCTCCCCAGCCCGGATGCCCCCACCTCCGATACCCCCAGGCCGGATGCCCCCAGGCCGGATGCCCCCACCTCCGATACCCCCAGCCCCGATGCCCCCACCTCCGATGCCCCCAGGCCAGATACCCCCACCTCCGATACCCCCAGGCCGGATACCCCCACCCCCAATACCCCCAGCCCCGATGCCCCCACCTCTGATACCCCCAGCCCTGATACCCCCAGGCCGGATGCCCCCCAGTGCTGATGCCCCATCCCCAATGTCCGAAACCCTGATACCCCCCCAACCCCAATACCCCCCAGGTCTCCCAAGCCCTGAAGCTCCCCAGCTCCCAATCTATGCTGCCCCCAGCCCCACCCCCTTTGGTCCCTGGTCTTTTCCCTCTGACACCTCCACCCCCATTGTCCCCTCCTAGTGCCCGGCCCCTTTAAGAGCCCCGCCCAGCCTGGCCCCTCTCCGTGCCCTCTGATTGGCCGGCGATGATATCAGCGGGGCGGGGCTTTCGCCGCGGCGACGTAAAAGCGGGGAGGGGCGGGGCCAGCCACCGCACGTCGTGCTGGAGCCCGGGCCGGAAGATGGCGGCGGCGGGAGCCGTGGAGCGCGCGAGCCGGGTCGGGGAGCCGCCGCCGCCGCCGCCGCCCCGCGGGCCCCGCCGCTACTCGCTGCTGGTGATCGTGGGCGGCGGCTGCCACCGGCCCGGCCTGCTGGGCGCCGTGCTGGCCGCGCTGGAGAGAGGTGAGCAGCGCCCCGCCCGGGCCCGCGCAGCGCCGAGCACCCCCGGCCGGGCGCCGCTGCAGCCCCCAGGCAGCACGGGCCGAGGTGCCGCGGGCCCCATTCATTGTCCTGCTTGTACCCAATGCACCGCCCGCCCCCGCTTTCCCGGGGCTCCCCTTGCGCCGGTGCGCGCAGCTCCTGTGTCCAGGGCACCCCCCCGCTTTCCCGGGGCTCCCCCATGCGCCAGGGTATAAGGCCGCACTCGTGCACCATGCAGCGTTCCTCTGCTGCTCTTGTCCGCGTTGGTGCCCCATGCCCTAATTCCGCAGGGGCTCTCCCCTGGGGTGCTGTTTTATGCGCTGGTGGGTGGCCCTGCTTCCCACCCCCCTGAGCAGCGTGGCCCGGATCTTCCGCTTGTCCTGCTGCATTTTGTGCTGTTCTGTGTGCATTGATGCACTGGGGCAATTCCCCCTTTGCATTTGGTTTACGTACTTGCAAGGTGCAACACCCCCAGATGTAGCTATGCCCTGTGTGTGGGTGTAGTGCCCCTCGATTCATTGCAGCACCTCGTCTCCTTTCCTTTCTTGCTGAGTTGCATGGTCGGGGGGTGGGGGGGGCATTGATACTTCAGACTAGGTGGGGGATAGGTATGCAAAATCCAGTTGTGGTGGTCTAGTGCAGCCCTCCTCTTCCCCCCTTCTTGCCCCCCCAGATTATTGCTTATGTTTAAAGGGAATCTCTCCTATGGGGGGGCAGTTCATGGTGCTTTTAACATGGGTGGGGGTGATAGCAGGTCTGTCCCCAACTGCGTGAATTCCGCACGCTTTTATTGCTTAGTGCATATGTATAATTCCATCCCATTTCCCCCTCTAGACTTTCACCTCGGCACCCTATGCATGGAGGCCCATGGTGCTGAGCATAGCAGCAACAGACAAAGGTTGGGGGTTGCTTTGTTAACGCTGAGATGGGCTGGGACCTGTTTTCAACTCAAGAAATTAGAGCGGGGCGGGGGAGTATCAGACATGATGGATGGGGCAGCTGGCCTGCACTGGGCCTCGGGAGCCGTCTGCCTGGAGAAGCTTGTCTGGCATCGGGAAGTGATCTGGAGCTCTGGTCTGTCGGGTGTGTTCTGCTATAGTGGGCCAGCATGGATTGAGGAAACTGCCAGCTGAAACTAGGAAGGGATGACTTGTAATTAAACCTGCTTCATGGCTTCCTCCAAGGACTTGCTGTGGATCTGCATTTACTGTTAACGAACCGGTGATTAAAACCTTCGCCTGGAACGGGATGTCAAGGAATTCCAGTCTTGGAACTGGCTGGCTGCTGGGGTTCTGCATTCTTAGCATGGCACTGGCATAAACTGTGTTAATGCTAGGTTTCAGAGTAGCAGCCATGTTAGTCTGTATTTGCAAAAAGAAAAGGAGGACTAGTGGCACCTTAGAGACTAACAAATCTGTTTGAACATAAGCTTTCGTGAGCTACAGCTCACTTCATCGGATGCATTATGCATTCCAATGAATGCATCCGATGAAGTGAGCTGTAGCTCACGAAAGCTCATGCTCAAATAAATTGGTTAGTCTCTAAGGTGCCACTAGTCCTCCTTTTCTTTTTGTATTAAATGCTGGAGACTTGAGGTGCTGGGAGCAGGGTAAGAGTTAGTGTCTCCTTCTGCGGAAGGTGCTTTCAAGGCCAGGAAGGGGGCACAAATTTGGAAGTGATCTTTAAAAAAATATATGTATCTACCATGCATGAACTGAGGAAGCAGCCTGAGAAGGCCAAAACAGTTACGTTGAGCAAGGTTTGTGCAACTCTGCATCTTTTTCCCCCCCATCGCTTCTAATGCCCTAATCTTGCACCATCTCCCTTTGGTTGGAAGGATCGTTAACCGTTCTACAGACTTGGGGGATGGTGGGGGAATGAATTGGTATTTTTCCTCATTTGTTGTCTTGGTGGCTCATGCGATGGGCAAGAGGCCTGCCTGCTAAGCCGGTTTGTAAATCACTACTCAGGAGCCTGCTTTCCAGGGACTCGACATGATGGGAGTGAAACAGGCTGCTTCTCTGTAATCCCCGCACAGGGGCCTGGGGTTTGTGTTTTGTTGCTGAACTGGGGTTAGAATTCCTGAAGCATTATGGCCGCAGGGATCAAACCCACTCTCCTGGGGTGGGGGAGAGGAGCCCAGTTGGCTAGTGTGACTGGCCAGCGTGGGACAGGAATGAACAGATGGCTGCTGTACAAGGGCGTCTGGTAGCTGGGGAGGCAGAGCGCAGAGACACGCAGAGACTGTTGCTGGCTTTTGGAACACCGCTTCTAACGCAGCTGATGGCTGTACGTGCCGCCTCTTACAGAACAGCCCGGGAAGGCGGCTGCGCTCACAGCCGGAGGGAATGCTCTTCTGTCTGGCTGAGGCCGGCGCGGCTGAGTCACTCCTGCAAGGTGCGTGCCTCCAGGGGAAGCAAGCGTGCACCTGTCTTAAGAGGTGAACGTCAAGGAACCTGTAATGTGGTGGGAACCTGAAGGCACGTCTTTGGTGCTGCCTTTAAAGACGCTCCTGACCCACCTCCGTTAACATCCCATATGAGGCAGGCATGTCCCAGCCAGACCTGCAGAGTGGCTCTGTCCTCCCCAGGGGCTGAGGAAGCTGTGAAGGGCTAGTGGGGGCGCATGGAGAGCCAAGACTGAACCCCAAAGCCTCAGGCAGTTATGTCTGCAAAGAAACCAACAGCATGTGATGTCTAAGGGAGCTTGAAGCAGCAGCTGAGGAGTGAGCTGCTCTGTGCATTTCACCTGGTGCTGACTCAAAGGGCCGTGGATGCTTAAAAATGGATGCCTGTAAGGAAGGGGGCAGAAGTCTAATTGTGAAGATTTCCACCAGCCCTTTGGGGCAGGGAGCATGCAGCTATAAACCAAGGTTCATTGAACTCTCTGGGGAGGCTGCCCAAGGGGGAATATATATCTAAATATATATAGATGCAGTAAATGCAGATCCACAGTAAGCGGTTGGCTTCCTTTCCCTGAGGAGCTGCTTGGTGAGGGTCAGGAGTTCTGAGCTGTGGGATAAAGCTGTCTGTGGACAGCAGGGGGATCTGATCCTGGTGTCTTTGAGCTGACTCACCGTGAGTGTTCTAGAGCCAGTGACTGAAGGGAGTTGGGCTGTGACCCCTTCTGACCTTTCATTTTCAAACCTGAATTGGAGAAGGATGTTACTCAGCCGGGGCTGGGGGTCAGCTGGGGCGTCGGCATGTGTCACCGGTCCTGGCATCTAGGAAATGCGGCAAATGCCATAGATGCTCTGACTCTATGGGACTAATTAAGCCTATTCCAGAGCTTAATTATCCTTAGAGTTGAAGAGTCTTTCCTAATATCTAACCTACGTCTCCTTTGCTGCAGATGAAGCTCATTACTTCCCATCCTACCTTCAGTGGACGTGGCGCACAGTTGATCACCATCTTCTTTATAACAGCCCGTAGCTGTCTCCAGATATGTTATCAGGTCCCCCTTTGTCTGCGGGGCAGCCTACTGGGACCTAGTCTCCCCACCATGCTGCTCTGGGGGCCCTGGTCACCCTGCATCTGACCCACATCTCAGAACTGTCCAAATTGCCATGGGCTCTTCCCCTGCTGGTGTCCTGTCCCCTACCCGAGTGGGAGCAACAGGGTTCAAAAAAGAGCGAGATAAATGCATGGCGGATCAGTCCATCAATGGCTATTAGCCAAGCTTGGCAGGGATGGTGTCCCTAGCCTCTGTTGGCCAGAAACTGGGAGTGGGTGACTGGATGGATCACTTGATTCCCTGTTCTGTTCATTCCCTTTGGGACATCTGGCATTGGCCACTATCGGAAGACAGGCTACTGGGCTAGATGGACCTTTGGTCTGACCTAGTATGGTCGTAGTCATGTAATGGCAGATTCTCTCTCTCCCCCCCACCCTCCCCACCCCCCATGGCAGCCAGACCTGTCCTCACTCAGCAGTCATCCCAGTGGGTTCTGTTCACCACTGGAGGGGTGGGGGGGGACTCTGCTTAGAGCAGGAGTCTGGGAGTTCGGACCCCTGGGCTGTATTGCTGGCTTTGCTAGGAACTGACCTTCACATCCCAAGTGCATGTCACTGGACATCCATGCCTCAGTTTCCCTTCAGTGTAATAGGGTTGATGATTTCACAGGAGACTATTTACAAGCCTCGAGACTCGGTTCCATGGACAAAAGTATCAGGGACGGGGTTGGGGGCAGACTCCGGATCTCTTCTCTGTTGCAAGCACGCTGATACCACGCCTAGCTAGCATAGTGTACTGTGCCGGTGGTCCAGCTGTCCCTCTTTTGGCCTGGCGGGCAGTCACCCAGCAGCTCTAATGCAAATGTAGGGGAAGCCTCTTAAGTTACTTAAAAGCCTGGGTGACACTATTAGCACTGGCTCTGTTCTTATCTGGCTTGCTGTGGATGTTGCTTTCCGTTTTCCAGGCCCCATGATGAGCTCAGCCTCCGGCTGACACACTGCCCTGTCATGCAGGCCTCTCTCCTGACACCAAACAGGAAGCGAGCCACGAAGGGATTGTAGTCAAGTGTTGTGTACAGCCGAGGTGGCGATAAGTTCCTGCCCCGTTGGGCTGTTGCTACAGTCTGTCAGGGGGGTTTCCTAGCATGTTGGTTGAGTTCACATAGCAGTAAAACACTCTCCCCATTGCGGTGTGAGTTTTGGGCCGGATGCTGCCCCAGCAAATTCTCCGCTTGGAATGGGTGGCCGAGGAGGCAGAATGCAATGCAGCTGGGTCATCCCCGGCTTGCGCAGGTCTCTGCAGCGTAGGCTCTCATTGAGAAAGGCAGGGCCGTCCTAGTATTGTGCCCCCAAGAGGCCTCTTCAGTCACAGGTGCTGAATGAGGCAGCCTGGCTCTGCTGCCTTGTGCAGGAGATCAGAGCAGTTCCAGTAAGTCTCCGTGCAGTAAGGAGCTGGGGAGAAGATGGGCAGGTCGGATGGGTTGGTAAATGCTGAGCTGCAGAATAGCACAGAGCCCAGCTGTGTGGCGCCTGGCCTCCAGACTCTGCTTGAAGGAGGTGTGGGAGCCAGTTGCAGAGTGACCCTGCTTTGCAGCAGGATGTGACTTGAATTCGTTGCAAGAGACCCGTGTTAACCCAGTCAGTGTATGTGAGCAGGGACTAGTCAGCGACTCCAAATGCAGGTGAAGTGACAGCCATCGTCACTGAGCTTTACTTAGCCACAGCTGGTGCCGTGCCAGCTTCCCTAAACTGCCCTGCCAGCACACTGTAGCCCTGCTTGGCAAGGGGGGCTCCTGTTTGCTGGCAGAGACCAAGGGCTGAACAGGCCAAGGGTGCTGTGATGTGAACAGCTGTCCCTGGGGAGCTTGCCTGTGAGCAACTGAACTCCCATGGGGGCCACCAAACAGCGTCTGGTAATGACTGAGCCGCTACTCATCTGGGCCAGGGTTTGAACCCGTGACCCCCAGGAAGGAGACTGAGGGACCGTCACTCTGGAAGAAGGCCGCAAAACTGACTCCTAGCCTGGAACGCAGCTGGAGCTGGTTGGTCGGGCTGCATGGCATCTGGGCCGCCCTTGTTGCTCATGTCTCTAGTTCTGGGTTGTGAGGAAGAGTCGGTCTGGGAATCTCACTGGGGCAGCTGCAGATCAGGGGGCGAGAGGGGCCCTGGGCTGGACTAGAGGGGCGGTCCATGCAGACATGGAAAAGGCTGTGTCTTGCGCCAGCCAGCCTGGTAGTCTTGTGGCGGTGGGAGGGAAGGTAGAAGTGCCTTTGCTCACTACCTCTTTTCTGCCAGACAGGTTCTGCAGAGAGGCTGGAGGCAAAAGCTCCCGCAGGCACAGGCCGTGCAGCTGCCTTGTGGACTGGGACTGCAGCAGTCTGGGGGGCCATGCGTGATTGGGCAATTCCTCCTCTGTCAGCTGCAGCACGGCAGCGTCCGACTCCCTCACTTACTGAGGGGAGCGGCTCAGACCCTCACCAGAGCGACTGGACTCCTGTTTGAGGCCTGGGTTCTCAGGACGCTGAGGCAGGGTCGGGTGGCACAGCACTGGCCTGTTGGGTCCAACCTGCCTTAGGCTGAATGTCCCAGGAGTCGGGATCCCGGCTGGAATCTCCATGTTCCTTGCTGCTGAGCATCGACACAGCCCCGTTACACCAGGACAGCCTTAGTAGCTGTTGCTCCAAAGGCCAGGCTTGCTGGGTTGCCCGTTGCTGGACACAAGTCCCTTCTCTCTCTGGCAAGGGTTCAGGGCAGCACTTGACTCGACGCTCCCTCGATTGGCACGGGGGGGCTCCTGCTACCTTTGCTCTGCGCTGACCTTTCCCTCGTGAGGCTGGGAGCGGCTCTCACTAGCCCGGCCCCTGTGGATATCTGCTGGCACTTTGCCCTTTCACTAGCCAAGTGGCAGAGGGAAATGGCCTGTTGTTGCCAGAGCCGGAAGCCTATTCCTCCCCTGTGGCTGTTCGTAGGCCCCCAGACTTGTCTGTCCCAGGACACACCCTGCCAGGCAAGAGGGAGGATGAGGAACCTGAGGGGCTTCCAGCAATGGGGGCCAGTGGCAGCAGCTTGTGCCCTGGGCTGGGGCAGCTGTGCGGAGCTGTCAGGGCGCCCGGATCATGCCGCATTTTATTGAAGGAACTCTCTGGTCTCCTAAAAGCTGCTCATGTTTATAGGCGACGCCTGCAGGGCTGGACACTAGCCAGGCGAGTTGTGGGCCCTGCCTGGGAACGCTTATGCTTGCCTGTGGGATTGAGGGCGGGGGGAGGTCAGCACAAGCCTTTAGTGCCACTCACTCTGATCAGCCCTTGGGAGCAGGCCTAGCACAGGGGCTGCGGCTTCTAGTCACTTTCTCTCTCCCTCCCGCTCTTGCAGAAGTGACGGCAAGTGCGTCGTATTGCACAGCGTGTGTCTGCATAACCCCTTCCCCTCCCCGCATGGCGGTGGGGAGGGCTCTGTGTGCACGGCAGGGTTGTTCTATTGCGTGCGCTGTAACCTGGCCATCCGCTCTGTCCCCGAGCGGGGAGTAGCACCTGCCTTGGCTACGAGCGGCTTGTGTGACCCTGAGGGCTTACAGTGCAGGGTCACATGCTCTTCCCTCCGGTCCATTTTGTGTATTCCCTGTAACTTGCCATGAGGGGCCAGCGAGCCCTGGGCAGAGCTCCCATCCCTGCTCCTCGGGCTGCTAGCTGAGTAGGGCACCATTCCCCCGGCGTGGGGCACGAAGGTCCCTGTAAGGCGGCAGGATTCTCTCCGGATGGGGCTGGGTGCGGCATGCCCTTTTGGCGGAGGCTGTCGCAGGGGCCTGCGGCTGCTTTTCAGCCCTTTCTGCCTGATCCGGATTGTTCCGCAAGACAGTGCTGTGCCAGGGATTAAAGACCCTGGCAGGGGGGCTTGGTTCCCCCGACTTACCTGGCTGGTAACTGATCCTCCCCCCACATGCAAGAGGAGAGCAAGAGCAGACCCACTGCTAGGTGGCTCCCTGCTGACCCATTCCCCCCTCAGCATATTCCTCATCTGGGGCAGTTCTGCTGGTCCTGGTTCCCCTTCCGTGGCTTGTCCTGGCCTTGCAGCTGCCTGGGCAAAGGGGGCCCTATAGGGGCCTGCTCCGGGTGCTGGGAAAGCTCTTCCTTAAATGGCTCAGTAGGAGATGGCTGGGGGCTGACCCATTTGATAGCCCAGGATGTCCCGTAGGTCCTGCCTTCTCCCCAGGACTCGCTGCCCGTGCTGCTGGAGAGGAATCTGCCCTGCCAGCTAGGCATGTCCTCTCCCTGTCCCCTGTAGCCAAGTTCGCGCAGGGTCCCCAGTGCTTGCATTCCCCAGGGGTGAAGCCCTCAGAGCAGACCGATTGCTCACCCCGTGCCAAGGCAGCTGGCCTCGTTCCACGGGTGGGCAGGGAGGCAGAAGCCACTGCGGGTGAAGTTGTTTGCCCAGCGGGGCTAGTGTCACAGCCAAGATCAGCCCCTGGGAATCCCAGCGGTGGCTGGTCTCCGTGAGCCTTGTGCCTCTCCTGGCAGCGTTGGGGTGGGGTGGGCTCTGCACCCCTTTGAGAACTGTGGGTGCTGATTGTTCTTTCTCCCCCCAGGGATCCGCTGCTGGGACATCGACCTCGCCTCCTGCAACCTGGACGAGCAGCTGAAGCTGTTTGTGTCCCGGCACTCGGCCACTTTCTCCAGCATCGTGAAAGGTAAGGGCGATTTGCCAGGCCTCTCCTGTCTCCACCTTCCCAGCTGTGCAGTCCCCGAGGGGGCTGTGAGGGGCCCAGCCCTCTGCCGGGAACAGCAGCCCAGCTGTAGTGGGCTTGGCACCTTGCTGGAGATGGCCCCCTGTCTGCACGTTGCTGCTTTCAGATGGGTACTCCGCAGTGTGAATTTCCAGGGACTGTCCTGTCCCTGCACCCTGCGAATTCACTCATCCCTGGAGTATTTAAAGGAGCTCTCCAGGCTGCTTGGCCCAGAACTCGCCCTGCTCTGGTGTCGGGGGAAATCTCTTGCAAACCCAACTGACTGTCTGAATGTTGCTGGAGTGAGGCAGCAGCTCTGCTCCGAGCGGGCCCTGCCGTGAGCTGGGGGTGGGTTTCACAAACACACCCACCCTGCTGTGGAAGCAGCACTGGAAATAACCTGTCTGGGGTACTCCAGTGCCCCCCAGTATCTGAGCATCTCAACTCCTGACTGCTCCCTGTGAGGCAGGGGGTGCATAGGGCTGGTCCCCTTTGCTCCGGTTTCTGGGGGGCTGCGGTGGGAGGGCAGGGTTGTATGACACTTGGATCCATGCTGGCTATGCCCACCAGGAGCAGATGGCAACGTGTGCCCGGACACATCCAGCAGCAGATGCAGCGTCTGGGAGCTTGTGTTCTGCTCGGCATCAGCAGAAACCTCACGTGACCCATTCCACGCATGCCCGGCCTGGATCTGGGTGTTTAATTCGTGTTGCAATCTGTATCTCTGGCCAGGCTGCCCAGGGAGTTGGAAATAGACATGGAGGCAGTGCAGTCCTTCCTGCTGTGTGGGGAGGGGTCGCTCCGGGGGCTGCCTGTCGGCTGCAGACCCGGACCTTGCCCTCTCCTGATGGTGTTTTGCTGGGTTGGGCAAACATTTAGCCAGGGCTACAAAGCTGCTTTTGTGCAGAGTTGCTTGCGTGTGCTCTCCCTCAGCTGATGCCTCTGTCCTGGCCCCTCCAAGCAGACAAATGCGCTCATTCTTCCTGGGGAGCTGCTCGCAGAGGGGTTCCCGGGCTGGGAGGATGGGCCGGCGGCCCTCTCCACGCACCTTCCAGTGAGGCCTTGTCACACCCAGGCTGGCTTCTGGCTGCGCTGCCCCACCGCCTTCAGCTGCAGTGCCTAGACTCGAGCCGGCCCTCCCCGATCGAGGAACGGGCTTGTTCCGTCTACCTCGCTCGCAGTGGGACGTCTTGACTCCAAGTCAAAACCATGCTGTAGCAAGATACTCCCCTGCTCATCTTGTAGGGGGGGAACCGCTGGTTCACCACATCTGTGCCTAGACACAAGTGTTGGGGGGATCCCTGCTGCTCCACTGTGGGGTTAACCCACTTTGGTACTGCTTCCCCTATGCCCTTCTCTAAGGCATCCACGGAAGGGAGCTTCTTGCATGAGGGTCTGAGCTCCCTGTTGCTTGTCAGGCGTAGCTGGGTCCTGCGGACTATCCCCTTTCTGGGGGGCTGAAGAGCTCGAGGACCCCAATGGGTGGAGCAGGACTTTGGCCTGGCTGTGCTTTCCTAGCATAACCCCTGCAGGCTGGCTGAGGTGAAGCCAGACCTTGTGCTCCGGAGCGGGGAGAAGCGTGGCTGTTGCTGGGGGTGCTAGGCGCTGTACAGACGGAACAGCGCCCCTTCCCCAAGGAGATTAAAGAGCCTCCCGTGCTGGTAGCATCCCTCTCCTGTGGCACAGGGAGAGCAGAGGCACTGGTTGGGCTGGGTTCAAACAATGTGGGCACCAGCTAGTGCTGCTGCTATGGGTAAAACCCTCCCCCAGCCTCGGCTACCAATGGGGCGCCAGAGAGAGAGAGACCAGCACGTACACTGCCGTGTTCCACGCGTCCAGCCTGGGGAGAGCCTAGGGCTGCTCCATCAGTACTATTGTCCCCACCGCCCCGGGCTGCTGCTGGGGCTGGACGCGTGTCTGATCCCTGGTCCTGTGAATTCCCGCGCCGGGGAACAGGCCGGCTCTGTGCAGCTAGTTGCTGAGCTGCTGGCTCCGGCCTGGCGTCGGGGCTCATCTGTTGCCTTGTGATCTACTTGGGCTGTGGCACATGCTCCGGTTGGGAGGTGGGGTGAGCTGAGACCCGTGCAGCTGCTGGCTGGGAGGGGAAAGGGGCTGGGGCAGCTGCCAGGAGATCCCTGGCTCTGCTCCCTGCTGGTGTGGCTGTCTCGTGACCGCGGCGCAGGGAGAGGTGGCTCGTGGGCTAGCGCTGTGTGGCGTCGTTCCCTCACTGTCGGTCTTGGAAGAGCCGCTGATCCTGTCCGAGGGGCTGGGCCGTGCACAGGGGTCCCGACAGCCTGCAGCCCAGCACAGGGTCTCCTTGCCGGAACTAGTGTGCTGAGGGTTTTACGGGCCTCTCTGCAGAAGTGACTGGCCATGGGAGAGTAGAAATGCCTTCGTTCCTGACCAGCTCAGGCTGCCGTGCGTGTAACGGAGCTGGGCTGCGAATGCAGGCACCTGCATAGAGCCCTTCCTCGGGCTCGTCTCTGGCAGCGGCTGGCCCTGGATGCATTTGAGGAAGGTGGAAGAAATACCCTTGTGGGCTGGTGTCCCACATCCGCCTGTGTCTGGCTTGCTCAAGATCTAAGGGGCTGGCTTACACCCCAAAGCCGTGAGCTTAAAATCCCTTCTGGGTGCCCTGGCCGTGAAATGGGCTCCCTGCAGCCAGCGCTGCACTCGCCTTGCTCTCCCTCCTGCCCAGGTGTCTCCGGCGGGCTCCTCCAGTCTGGCCAGACCAGCCTCCCCGGGTACTTCCTTTAGGGTTCGTTTGTTTGCTCTTCCAAACGAGCTCTCTGGAAACTAGGGCGGCTGCACTCAGAGGCCCCTTCTGTGCACGGGGCTGAGTGGCTCGGGGGCTTGGTAACCAGATAGGGAGCCGCTGACCCCCCCCGGCTGCTGGTTCAGAGGCAGCACTGACCAGCAGTAACGGAATCGCTGCTTGCCAGCAGCTGCTCGGTGGCCCTGTGACATGGGCGTGGCAAGGGGTGTCCCGTTTCCAGTCCAGGTGCTCGATCAGCCTTTGCTCTGGGGGAGGCCAAGGGTGGAAGGGACTATGGACCACTCCGGGGGGGCTGCAGCTTCCAGCCCAGCTCAGGTGCTCAGGCCTGGACTGAACCGTTTTTGTTCTGATTTAACTGTGGGTTGGGTTGGGAGGGGACGTCTCTAAATGGACAGTGGCCCCTGTTACAACGGGATGGTGCTGTAAAGGTGCCACGTGCCAGGAAGGTTTAAGACCATTCCTGTGTGGGAATAGCTAGCAGGGTGTGAAATGCCTTCACTCTGATACAGCTGCGTCGGCACTGGGAGGTTGGTCTGATCTAATGATACTGGGCTGGCTTAAATGGGTCCAGCTTTCTCGTGTCTGAGCCCCTCAGCCCATCCCCCACCCTTGTGAGGCAGGGAAATCCTCACTCCCCGCCCGGTTGTACAGATGGGGAAACTGAGTCAGTGACTTGCCCAGGGTCAGTTTCTGGCAGTGCAGGGAATTGAACGTGGGTTTGAGTCCCAGGCCAGCCCTTAGCGACTCAGCTCCCCCGTGCTGTGGAGTACAGGCCTCCAGACCCCAAGGCACTCAGCCCAGCAGCCAGCTGGCTCAGGGAGGCAGAATTTAACCCCCGACAGGCCTGTGCTTGGCAGGCTTGTGAATTCTCTTCGTTCCTGGGACTGAGCTGTAGTAAACCACTCAGCTCACTGGCACCAACACCCTGAGGTGCCCTGTGGCCTAATTGTGCCTCGGATCTTCCTGCCCCCCAGACCATAAATTGGCCTTCGTGGGCCTGGAGCCCCATGAGCTGGGGCATGCAGAGCAGATTGTTAGCAGCCCAATGGAACCACTTCCCTCCATGCTCTGGGATTACGCTGCACATGTGGAGTTAAAGCCAATTCGGTTCCCTTCCTGGGGCACTAAACCCGTTGAGCCTCCAGCCCAGTTCGCTAGGGGGCTGGGCTTCCTGGTTGTTTTCCTTTCCTCCACACTGAGCTGTTTCTCTGCCCCATTGCTGCCCTCTAGTGAAGGGCAGTGCAGCTGTCTGCATTAGATGCCATTTGCATGGTGCCCGACTGCATGCCCGGGGGCACAGAGCTTGGGTCTCTGGCTTATTGGGAGTCTCTGCTCCGGTTGGGAGGTCGGGTGAGCTGAGACCCATGCAACTGCTGGCTGGGAGGGGCTTAGAAGCGGTACTCGGTGGTCCCTGGACACGCATTGCTCCATGCCCCAGCTCTACCCTTGGGAAGGAAAATGGGGCTGGGGGAGCAGTTTGTGCTGCCTTGGACCACCCCCCACAACCCCAGAAAATAAAGGTGGAGTCTGCCCCCCCAATGCCTGCAGGGAGGAGGTGGTGGTGCGCTGATGGCCTCCGGAAGGCAGCTTCTGTCCGCTTGGCCTTCCTGAGCTGGGGCCGCATCGTCCGGGCACAGAGCAGGAAATGCCAGTGGTCATAACGCTGCCCTCCAGCTGGGGCTGCAAGGGGCCAGCCCCGTGTGGGCCCGGGTCTCTGCTGGCCCATGACCTTCCTCGTGGAGGGGAGAATCACTCAGGTGCTCCCAGGGTGTGTTCCCAACCCTGCAGTGGACTGGCAGGGCCAAGTCATCTAGCTGCTCTGGGCCTGGCCTATCTTCTGGTGGGGGGGCCAGTGGGGGAAGGGAGGCTGAAGTGGCCGCTATGGTCAATCATGCAGGGGGTCTGTGTGGTTCCCAGCTCTCCTGCTGATGCCTGGGTGACCTGGCCAGTCACTTCCCCTCCACGGGCCCTGCTCAATCAGTAAGATGTGCGTTCTTTCTGCTTTCCATTTAAGCTCTTCAGGCCAGGGCCTCCCTCTCCCCATCTGTGGACCCCCAGGGCCTTGAGAGTAATGGGGGCAAGGGGCCGAGGTACCCATGGGGCCTTGGCAGAGCCGGCCACTTAGCAAGGCTGCTACGTTTCCCATTCCAGCCAGAGTGGTAAGGGAGCCCAGAGGGTTGTGTTCGTAGCTTAAAAACAATCCCTGTCCGGCTCCTGTGCTGTTGCCATATCGGGAGCAGAGCACAGGGGTGGGGGGTCCCTCGTGGGCTGAGTCAGCCCCTCCGCTTCCTTCCTTCCCCCCCGCAGTGGGAAGGAAGTGTGTGTGTGGGGGGGAGGGGAGTCTCATCCTTCGACTCAGCAGATCTGCTGGCCTCTTGTGGCATCCGGGCTCACAGCTCTGCTTTCCGGCCAGTGGGGTCCTGCAGCGGCCGTGCCTCCAGCCTTGAACTCCTGCCTCAGCCTGGCTGAAAGGGGTGGGGGAGGCTGGGAAGGGGGCATGCAGCAGCGGGGTCTGTGTGTGGGCCTGTGTCCCCTGCCTGGGGAGGCTGCCTGCTGCCAGAATGACTGGTCTTGCCTGGGGATGGCCAGAGCTTGTGCTGGGCAAACTCCCTGTCGTAGCTGGGTTCTGCAGTAGCTGCCGGCGCGCCAATCCTGTCCGGCACCTCTAGCTTTAGCTGGGATTGTGGTGTGTTCCGTCAGGAACTACGGGTACCCCTTTCTCTCGTACTCGCCCACCGCCCTTCCAGGGCCTGCCTTGGATCGCCCTGCTTCCTGGGTGGAGAAACTGTGGCACAGACTTGGCACCTTGCTTCAAGCTACTCAGAGCCTGTGGCAGAGCCAGGGACCCAGATCTCTTGGCTCCAGGGCCTTAGCCCCAAGACTGGCCTTCCTCTGCCCCTCCCTGCGCCCTGCCTGACAGCTGTCTCTGCACTGCACTGCCTGACAGCTGTCTCCTTAGCCAGCCTTGTCTACTGTCCGGCACAGACATCTCCCTGAAACGCCACCCGGGTGTGCTCTCCATGCCCAGGGTCCCAGAGGTGCTGGGGGGCAGTGCTGCGGCATTGCAGAGGGGAGCGGTGGTCCAGAAGGCAGGTGAACTGTGCATGCTCTGAACAGCCTCCTGGGTCAGCCAAGAGCTGCCTGGGGTTCCCTGCTCTGGGACGGGTTGCATACGTTGGGGCAGACCATGCCAGCTGAGTGCTGCATGGTATGCTGCCAGGCTCCTATCTGGAGGCTCCTTGCTGCCCGGCCTCTCGCCATTCCATGAGTTCGTTGTGCCCTGGGCAGCCACCCTCTGTGCAGCTCTCGGGCCAGCCTGGCCCTTCCCTGGAGGGAGTGGGGGCCAAAACCTGGAGGGGAGCTGGTCTCAACGCCGAGGCCTCTTGTTCCTGGGCAGGTCAGCGGACCCTCCACCACCGGGGAGATGTCCTGGAGACACTGGTGCTGCTCAACCCTTCGGATAAGTCCCTGTGCGATGAGGTGAGCAGGTGGGCAGGGAACTGGGTTCCAATGGGGCCCTTACCATCTCGGGGGGGGGGCGGGGGCAAGGAGGTGCCAGGCCACTGGCCACAAGAGCACCCTGCAGGAGTGTAGGGGTTGCATTCCCCTCCATGATTTTCTCATGTCCTGTCCTCCTTCCCACTCCATCAGGCCAGGCGCCTGCTCCCTCCCCAGCCCAAACACCTCCCCCGCAGATACCTCCTCCCCCGCCCCCCCCGGGGCTTGGTCTCTGCTCCATTGTGTGGCAGCAAAGATCCCCTAGAGCTGGTGTAGGCCGGTGTGCCTGGGTGGCGGGCCCGAGCGCGGTAGGGGTGGGTGGGGACAGCTGAACTCAACCATTCTCACTCCCCCGAGCCCTCGGTCCCCAGCTGCGGAACCTGATCACGGACGTGTCCCAGCACAAGCTGCTGGTGTTCACCGGGCCCTGCGTGGAGCAGACCGGGGAGCTGATGCTGCAGACAGGCTGCTTCTCTCTGCGGGACTTCATCCAGATCTTCACGGACAAAGAGGTGTGTCCTGGCACCGTGCCCGTGATCCGTCCCTTGGTGGCTAACCCTCGTGGCCGTGAGCTCTGGGCCAGGAAACGCCTTCCTTCAGGCAGCTCTGATTCCTAATGGGGCTGGGGGAGAGGCCTGGGTAATCCCGTTACTGTCTGATGCGGAGACATGTGTGTCTCTCTCTCCCGGCTCAGGGCTCGTGTGCCTTTCCACCTCTGGCTGCAGGAGGAAACATTGCAGAACCTTGACATGGCTGCTGGCAGTGAAGGTGACTCCATTGTGGGCCCCTCTGGACCCTAGTCACTTTTTTCTCACTAGCCCCATGGATCCTGAGCCCCAGCTGGAGTGGCTGTAAACTGGCTGAATGTGCAGCTCCAGGCACCAGCAGCGAAGCCCTGTGGGAAGGGCGTGGGGCTGGCGGAGTCCCACTCTCTAGTGGTGCTGATGGAGCTGGGCTGTTGCTCAGTGCTGCATCCAGAACTGTCCATATGAGGCCTCTTCATCCCCACCACCTAGCAGGCGTAGCAGCAGGTTCAGTCTTGCTGGAAGTCTGGCAGCCTCAGGTCCCCTTGCTGTGTGTGGCCAAGGCTTTGCTTCTCCAGCAGCCCTGGAACTGCTCCCCATCCCAGGCCCACGCTTCTGTGCAAACGTGGCCTTGCTCGGCAGTAGCATCTCTCCTTCCCCAGCAGGGAGCGCGCTCTGAATCACACCAGCAGCCAGGGCTGCTCAATTAGGAAGTGCAGGGGTGGGAATTGGAGGATCGGGTGCAGGGTAGGTGGGCTGCTGCCCTCTGCGCTCGTGGGGCATGTTCCCAGGATGCAAAGGGAAGAGTCTGGGCTCGCAGTGATGATCGCCCCCATGCACAATCATCTGATAGCACAGACCACAGGGGAAATGATGCTGAGCTGAGTGACACTGCGGTGTCACGGCCAAGCCTGCTATGGGATGGCCTTCCCCGTATTGGTGAAGGAGGGCAGGGTGGGGCTGTCTAGTGGCTGCCGACTGGCCTCACCCCTCTTGGAACTCGTGTCTCAGTCCGGGTCGGAGGTGGCGTGTCTGTCTAACCCCTGGGATGGCCGGGCTGGAGCTCTGGATCGGCTGACAAGGGATGACTCAGCAGCCTGTCGCTTTACACTGAACTCAGCCAGGTGCTGGCGTTGACCATGGGTTCTCTCTCTCTAGGTTGGGGAGATACTGAGCTCTGCAGATCCTTCGGCCAAGGCCAGCCTGACCGTCAGCTGCCCTGACTTTGGGGAGTGGCAGGACTCCAGCCTGGAGCAGTACAACCTCCAGGACTTCATTGAGCTGCGGATCAACCCAGGCTGCATGCTGCCGGAGATGGAGGGGCTGCAGGAGTTTGTGGAATACCTCTCGGAGTCCCTGGAGCCACAGTCCCCCTTTGACCTGCTGGAGCCCCCGACCATGGTGGGCTTCCTGAAGCTCTCCAAGCCGTGCTGCTACGTCTTCCCTGGCGGGAGGGGGGACACAGCCTTCTTTGCTGTCAACGGGTTCAACGTCCTGGTGAACGGGGGCTCCAACCCCAAATCCTCCTTCTGGAAGCTGGTGCGCCACCTGGACCGGATTGACTCCATCCTGGTGACGCACATCGGCACGGACAGCCTGCCGGGGGTCAACAGCCTGCTGCAGAGGAAGGTCGCTGAGCTAGAGGAGGACCCCTCCTCACAGGGCTCCCAGAGTAACGGGGACTGGGTGAAGAACCTCATCTCCCCCGAGCTGGGCGTCATGTTCCTCAATGCGTCCGAGAAGCTGAAGGGTATTGAGGGAAACTCTAGGGTGCTGAAGAGCTGTGATGAAGCCAGCCTGACTCTACGCTACCTGGAGAAGCTGGGGATCAGGCCCAACCCACTATGCAGGGACAGCGGCCCCAAGGTGGGGCCCACGGTGCTGTTCCAAAAGATGGGCGTTGGCAGACTGGACATGTACGTGCTGAACCCGGTGCGGGGCAGCAAGGAGCTGGAGTTCCTGCTGCAGCACTGGTCCGGCAACGGCCACCCCAGTGAGCAGGAGCTGCCCTTGCAGTGCCTGACCTCCATCTGCGCCCTGCTGGTCTGGCATCCCGCCAGCCCTTTGGAGAAGATCATCCGGGTCCTGTTCCCAGGCTGCACCCCGCAGGGCAGGATCCTGGAGGGGCTGGAGAAGGTGAAGCACCTGGAGTTTTTGAAACACCCGGTGGTCACTGAGAAGGACTTGAAGGCGCTGGCTGCTCCCCGTCCCGAGAAGCAGCTCACGCCAAAGAGGGCAGAAAGCAAGGAGAGCCTCAAGTCGGCGTCCAAGGAGAGCCTCCGGTCTGCTTCCAGACTGAGCCTGGTGGAGGCTGGGCCCCCGGCTCTCAAGGAGAAAGCCCTCAAGTCAGAGAAGAGGGAGGTGAAGCCAGCGCCCAAGGAGAAGGTCAGAGGGCCGGGCGAGGTGGCCAAGGCAAGGCCAGAGGAGGAGAGAGCCGAGGAGCCCAGAGCCAAGCTCGACTCTTCAGCTGAGAAGCTCAAGCCGGATGTGAGGCTGAAGCTGAGCAAGGAGAAGGCCCTGCCCAAGAAAGAGTCCCTGCCCCAGGAGGTGAGGAAGGAGGAGAAGAGGCCTCTGAAGAAGGAAGATGGCGCTGAGGGGAAGGCGGATGGCAGGAAGGAGGTGAAGGCAGTGAAGAGGGAGGGGAAAGCTGAGCTGCTGCGGAAGGATGCCAAGGAGAGCAAGGCTGAGGGGAAGGCCGCAAAGCCGCCTGCCCGCAAGCCGCCTGGGCTGGAGCCCCGCAAGCTGGCCCTCAGGACAGGGAGCCTTAAGAAATCCACTCTCAAGAAGGAGCCAGAGAAGCCCAAGGCCAAAGCGGCCAAGGAGGCAGGTGCAGCTGGCAAGAAGCCCCCGAGCCCTGAGGCTGGTGGGTCGGAAGGCTCCAAGTCACTGTCCCTGGAGGCCCTGACACAGGAGGCGGCATGGGCGGGCACCGAGGCCAGGCAGAAGGAGGAGTCAACAGACGAGGGGATCACCGCAGCGGAGAGTGAGCTGGAGCCATCCCCGCTGGAGAACGGGGAGGCTGGGCAGTGTGGTGGCACTGAGGGCCCAGCTGGCTGTGCCGGGCTGGGGCCCATGGATTGCCAGGAGAACGGCCTTGACCCAGAAGAGCTGGACAGCCCCCAGGGGTTCCGGTACCTAGAGACTAGCCCGCTCAAGGCCATCTGGCCCCCTTCCCCCCTCGCCAAGACCCCCAAGAGCGACCACAGTGTGGACTTCGACCTGACGCCCACGGGGCTTCTCAACCACTGCCAGGAGGGCGCCGAGGACCCATGCGGCAGCTCCGAGGAGAAGACCCTGGAGATGATGTCCCCCTCCAGCTCGGGGCCGGCCAGTGCCAGGCACACCCCATTCCACCAGTCCCCGGTGGAGAACGCAGTCATGGTAGAGGAGCTGACGACGGGCCACAACGACGACAAACAGTTCAACTCCTGTCATTCCTCCCAGGAGAAGCAGGCGGGCTGCCTGTCCCTCAGCCCCTTCAAGGACGAGCTCCCTGACGTCTCGCCCACCATCACCACCCCCTCGCTGCCGGCTGAGGTGGGCTCCCCCCACTCCACCGAGGTGGATGAGTCGCTGTCGGTCTCCTTCGAGCAGGTGCTACCCCCGGTGAGCGAGTCGCCCCAAGAGGAGCTGAACCGGCCGCAGGCGGGCGGGCTGACCCCGGAGCCAGATGCCTCGGTGGGCAAAGGCAGCTTGTCCCTGCCCATCCAGCCCTGCCACCACGCCCAGCTGGGCAGCGACGGGGCGGACGGACTGCGCCGGCATGGGCGCCGTTCCGACTCCCCCCCACGACGTGGACCTGTGCCTGGTATCGCCCTGCGAGTTTGAGCACCCCAAGTCAGAGCGCCCCCCCTCCCTCAACGTCAGCCCCCGGGACCTGTCCAATGACAGTGACCTCTCCCAGGAGCTGGCCAAGCCCCTGGCCCAGAGGAGAGGCCTGAGGAGCCAGGGCCGCCGGCTGCAGCCGCCGCACGCCGCGGAGACCCCCCCCACCTCTGGGAGCGAGTCCCTCCCCACGCTCTCAGACTCAGACATCCCTCCTGCCACCGACGACTGCCCCTCCATCACGGCCGATGGCGGGCTGGACTCAGATGAAGAGTCGGAGCACCTGGCCAGGGGCCCTGCCCGGGCCAGAGACCCTCCTCCTGGCCCCCTGAAAGACCCCTGCCCCCTTCCTGCCCAACCTGGCATCTGCATGGTGGATCCAGAGATTGTGCCCTCAGAGCAGGCCTGCATGGGGAAGAAGGAGCCCGCTAGCAAGGTGAAGAGGACTCCCTCCCGCCTGGGCTCGGCCCCCATGTCCCAGAAAGCCGAAAACCCCAAACACTCGACCCTGGGCAGCAAGGCCAGAGGCGCCATGGGCTCAGCAGACAAGGTCAGGACGCTTCCCCCAGCCAAGGGCACCCCCATGGAGAAGGGCCCACGCCTCGTGGCCGGCGGGGACACCAGAGCATCGCTCAAGAGCCGCAGCGCTGGGGCCAGGCCGCTCTCGGGAGCCGGCAGATCATCTCCCGCAGGTAACTGCCGCGGTCACGCTGAATGGGGATGGGGCGTAGAGTCCAGCTGATCCCAGGCCAGGAGCAGAGCCTGTCACTCCCATGCTAACCCAGCCCCAGGCAGAGGGGACTGGCTGGCTCGGGGGGTGGAGGATATATGGGGCCTTGCAGCCCAAGGCAGTCACTGCGGGTGTGTGTTGGCCTGTGGGATGAGCTGCGTTGCTGTCGGTGCCCATGGCACCACCAGAGTTTGCATGTGCCAGGTGGGAGCTGCTCTTGCTCCGGGGGAGTGTGCCACAGACTGGGTGGCCATGCCCCAGATGTTGGCTCCTTCGGGGCTGAGTTGAGGCATGTGAGCACAGTAGTTGGGGGGGGGGGGGGGGGGGGCTTGGCCTGGGCTGTCTGGATCCTGGGGAATCCTGCAGCGCGTAGGAACTAAAAGGCTGGTGTTCCTGCGTGCTGGTGAGCCCGAGTCCCACGTAACTCAGGGCCCAGATGTGTGGATTCCAGAAGAGCCTCTTGCAAAGCTTCTGGAGCCCCCCTGCTGCATTGCAGACCCAGGGAGCTAGTGACCCATTCCCTGCACAGCCAGGCTCAGCCAGATGCAGAGAGTGACCATCCCTAATAGCAAAGGGAGCGAGATGCTGGATTTAAAATCTAGTTAAAACTCCAGTAAAGAGACAGTGCTGGAAGTGCCCTAGCAGGTGTGGGTGTGCAAGAGAGAGCCTGGGATCCTGGATCGAATGTGTCAAGTGACTGGCCATTGTTGGGTGTCCCAATGGGAGATGCCTGGAAGGGCCAGACTGTGGGCTGGCGTTCAGCACTGGGCACAAATTGAGCCCTTCTGCGATGCCCGAAATCAAGGTTCCCAAAATCTCTGATCATGTTTCAATAGTGTGGCCCTTGTGCACCGGGCCGCCTGGCATTCCCTGCTGGAGCCCTGGCCCTGCCCCCTGTGTCTAAAAGGTCCCCCGTCTTGCAATTTCAGGCTCCAAGGCCCTTTCTCCCCCTGAGCCGCCAATCTACTTGGACCTGGCCTACATCCCTGGCTCCTGGAGCGCCAGGACGGTGGACGAGGAGTTCTTCCGACGGATCCGCTCCCTCTGCTACGTCATCAGCGGAGACGACCATGTCAAAGAGGGTGTCATGCGACCCATCCTGGATGCGCTGCTGGCGGGCAAACGTCACTGGGGGAGTGATGTCCAGGTGGGGCTTGGCAGGACAGCAGCAGGGGGCAGCGCTGAGCATGGCCAGGCAGGCTTGCGGGGGGGCCTGGTTGGGGTCTCGGGTGACCATATCCCTGCCCCATGCTCCAATCCCGAGCCCTCTGCTTGGGGGGAGTGTTTCTGCCTTGAGCGGGAGCCGGGACTGCTGCCCCACTGCATGGGCTGTGCCATCCAGCTGGCTGTGGATGCTGCTGGCCGCCTCCTCCCCTGGCAGAGTCCTGTGGGGAGAACCTGCTCCCCCTACTGGCCGGATCCAAGAAGTCCCCGGTGTGTATCGTTCGGGGCATCTGGCTCGGGCGGGGCGGGGGTTGCTGTGGGGGGTTGTAGCGGGAGGGGGGACTCAGCAGAGGCCACCAGGGAACTGGACTCTGGCCTGGTCTGAACAGCAGAGTTATGCCGGCGTAGCTGTGTCGGTGAGGAGTGGGGGGGGGGGGGGATCGCCCCCTGCCAGAACAGCTAATCCCGACAACCCCGCTGTGCAGAGGCACTCGGGTGGGGTGACCAGACAGGAAGTGTGAAAAATTGGGGTGGGGTGGGGGGGTAATAGGAGCCTATATAAGAAAAAGACCCCAAAAAAGGACTGTCCCTATGAAATCAGGACATCTGGTCACCCTACACTCGGGGCACAGCTGCATCTGTTGGCATGGCACGGCTCTGTGGGGGAGGTGGCGGTACCATGCCGGCGGAAAAGCTGTGGTCTTATGCGTGTCAACGTAGGGGGCTCGGCCACGTAGCCATGGCTTGGAGCAGGGGCAGCTGGGTTCTCCTGAGGCAGGAGGGGCCCTGACCTTTGAACTGTTAACTCTGTGACCTCACCTGGGGGGTAATCACTGGTGTGCCTCAGTGTCCCTGTTTGGCACAAGTGTTGGCGGCTGGGGCAGGGTGGCTTTGAGCTGGGGCAGAAGCAGCTGGAGACGTGGTGAGGCTGTTTGTGCCCATATTTTGAGGGAGGCAGAACCTCCCCTTGCTCCGGCCTCCGTCTGCCCCACCAGAGTGTTTAACACAGCAGTGCCCCGTCCCCAGTTGAGATCAGAGCCCCATGGGCCGGGTGCTGCGCAGACGCACTGCAAGGAGCTGGGGTCTGAAACAGACGGGACAAAGGGGGGGAGAGGGGAAACAGGCAGAGATGTGACATGCCCAGGGTCCCCCAGCAGGTAAGTGGCAGAAATAGAAGCCCTGGTGCCCTGGCTCCATCAGGGCCAGACCCACTAGACCTTGCTGCCTCCGAGTGACTCTCAAATTGGTCTCCTCAGGTGACCCTGATCCCAACCTTTGATTCGCTGGTGATGCACGAATGGTACCAGGAAACCCACGAGCGCCAGCAGGAGCTGGGCATCACAGTGCTGGGCAGCAACAGTACAGTGGCCATGCAGGACGAGACCTTCCCAGCATGCAAAGTGGAGTTCTGAAGGCGGCCCGCGTTAACCCTTTCTAGCCAGACTTGGAGCAGGTGCTTTGGACCTTGCAGAGGGGAGATCGCCCACAGTCATCGCACATCGCAACCCATTGGAAGGGGGGAGGGCTTGGCAAGGCCCTGTTGGCCATGGGTCATTGGGAAGAGGCACTGTAAGATTGGAATGAGCTCTGCATGGCCAGCTTCCTGCAAGATGGGAGGGAATTTCCCCTGGACTGGAAAGGGTTACACTGAGTGCTTGCCTCTCCTATCCTGTGCACCACAGACACTCACCGTCTGGTTATTGCATGCACACAGGCCCCAGCCTCTTGCTCTGTATCCCTACAGGGGGAGGGGGGGCTGGATCGTGGGTTGGCAGGGTCTGTAATCCCCACTGCTGGCAGAGGTGGGGAGCAGGTTCTGTGGCTGGGGGCCGAGGTGTGCTACAGGATAGCTGTTCCTTGCCTCTCTCCCCAGCCCAGCCACTGCCCCCACAGCCTCTGTGTCGGGACAGGCACGGCCCTCTTCTGTCCGCCCCAGTGATGGAAAGGGGACCAGTCTGCCCTCCCTGATGTCAAGCAGGTACCTTACACTGGTCAGGTGATGCAGCAATGGCCACCCCACTGCAGCATCGCCCCAGGGCTCCTACGGGCAGCCTGGACTGGGGCTCCAATCACTGGTAGCATCCAGTCGCTTCCCTGTTGTTTGGCAGCCAGTTGGAGTCTCATCCTCTGGCTGAGGGCACAAGTGAAACGAGTCTGCGAGTCATACACCCCAGTGATGCCCCTGACAGCATGACCATGTGCCAGGGAGGGGGGCTGCTATAGTGGTGGGGGGCTGTATCCCAGTTGACTGCCCTTCCCCCAGCTGCTATTAGTCTCCTTCTTGTGCCCCTCAAAACTAAAGTCCCAACTGTCCTGTTGCACCCACAGAGATGCCAGGTTCCCAGGTGGACACGATCTCTTGACCCAGATTAAGGGAGGTTTGAAGCTGAATTGGGGCTGGGGGGGGCTGGACTGGACTGATGCTTTCCTGCCTTCCAAAGCAGTGGAGCATGGAGTGGGTTCTCCCTGCATGGGGTGTGGAACTGTGACCCAACCCTGCTAGAGCATTCCCATGCCAGCCCAGTCTCCCTTGCCTGGTGGGGGTGGTTGGGCTGGCAACCCCAGCCCCACCCCATGGCGGACCTCAGAAGCCCTAATGTTGCTGTAAATGTTTTAAAGCCAAATTTCACGGGCCTTTTGAAAGTTCATGTTAAGTGTGATCGCTGGGAGCAGAGGGCCTGGGCGTGGGGGGTGTGAATGTCTCCCAGGGAGGAGGGGAATTGGAGTTGTCTTGTAACAGCCCCCCCTCCCCTTCTCCAATCTCTGTGTCAAAACTAACCAGGGATGCTCCTGACTTCAGCTAACATCCCCCTTCTGCAAACCCTGCTGCTCCTGTCTCCTGTACCCTGCGTCCCTGCTGCTGACCCCAGCAGTCTGCGTGGGCCAAGCAGATCTCAGGGGGCACCGCTAGGCATGAAACTTGTGGGGGGCCTGAATCCCCAGCCACGTTCTAGCTTCTCCACAGCTTTCGCATCTTTCTTTTTCTCTAACTCATCTTGAAGAGCAAGTTTGGGGAGAGAATGTGACACTAACCTGTTTTGTAAGTTTGCAACTTACCTTTTTTTGTAAATTTTTTTTTAAATGAAGAAAAAAACCAAAATCGCTACACACAGAAGGTTCTTATTTATCTGATTACCACTGTGAGGCACCAGTGCGTCCCCCCCGGGCGAGCTGCTGGGAAGGGGGGCTCTGCAGCTCCTTGCAGATTTCATCCCCTCTTGTATCCATGGCAGAAGGGTTTAATCCTGTTCTCAGTGCTCGCCTGGCTGGGCTTGGAGGCCTTTTTACATTTGATTGTATTGTACTATGTGTCTAGGAGATGTTTGGGGGGTGGGTGGGGAAAGGGGAATTGAATGTTTCACCTTTTAGTGCTTTATATATTTTCTTAGCTAGAAGATGTTTTTAAAGAGGGGGTGAGGGAAGGAGATCATGAGGTTGCCCCACCTTCTTATAGCTCAAAATGTGGGGGGCGGTAACCACCTGTTTCTCCACCCCTTTGTGACTTCTCCCAGGCCGGGGCAGGGGGTGGGTTTGCTAGAAGTTTTAGACACCGACACACGCCACGATGTTGCACACACGATGTTATGGTTTGGTAAATGTATTGAACAAGCATTAAAGAGACACTAGCCCAACAAATTGCTGTGTGCTCTGTGGCTGCCAGCAGGGCCAGGCGGCCTTGGTTCCAAATGCACAACGAGGGGGAGGCAGTGGGGTTTGTGGGGGTTCTTGGAGCAAGACCTGGGGGTGGCCAGTGAAAGTTCAGGGGCTGATCTGCCAGAGAACTCAAACTGGTGCAGCAGGCTGCAGCTGTTCACACAGACTCTTGCACTGGTTTTCATTGATGTAAATTCCTGCCTCAGGCTATGGGGGTGCAGCTCTCACATCACCAAGTTCCCCTCGCTGGGCGAAGCCTGGGACGTGCAGACATCAAGCTGGGTCCTTCAGGTCGGACCCTGGTGGAAGTGGCCTGTGCTTCGCAGCCTCGGCAGAGGGGGATGATGGATTGAATTAGCCTTGGCGACTGCCCTCTGATCTAACTATTCCAAGCCACAATGTGAGGACCCCGGGTAGGGCCAGGTAAGTGCTGCTAGCAGCAGCCTGTACCATGCAGCTGCCAGAGCTAGCTGGGGTCATTAGTGCAAAACTCACCCCTGGGTGCATCTACAGTGAAAATGCAGCAGCCCTACTGCTATACCACTCAGTGTGTCTGCTCACTACAGGGCCTGGAGGGGTTCTCCCTTCCCTGTAAACTAATCCACCTCCCCAAGGGGCAGGAGCTAGGATTCTTCCAGCAGCGTAGCGCTGTCTACGCCAGGGCATGGCTGTGGGTTTTCCCCCCCTGCCTCCTGCACATAGCTATGCTTCAGCCCTGAGGCCCTCTCTCCCCCTGCACTAGAGGTGTAACTGCTGGCTTGAGGAGCCACCCATGCTAGCCCTGGTTGTGAGAGCATGCTAAACCCTGCAGTGTCATACCGCTGGGAGGGGCCAGCCAGCCTGTGTCTGTACCTAGGGTTCAAACAGTCACACTGGGGGCTACTCCTGGGCTCCCTTTGTGGGGCAGCCCTTGGTGGCGAGGGATGTAGCTGCTCAGCAGCCTAGGGTGCCATCCTGCCTCTCCTGATCCTAGGGGAAGATTAGATCCTGGATGGGAGGGATGGGGGAAGGAGCAGCCTGCAATCAGCATTTCCCCCTGTCCCTCCTCTGTGGTGACATGGGGCAGGGCTGGATTAGAACCGGGCCAGGCAATCGCTGTGGCTCCAGGAGGGGGCGCTGCCTCTGCATCCCTTGCTGGAGGCCGGCCTGGCCTGCACCCCTGGCTCTCGGAGATCAGGGGCTGGGTGGGTGGGGAATCCTTGCTGGGACCCTTGTGGCCCAGCAGCAGCCTGATGCAGCTGCAGCCAGAACCCTGTTCCTCTTTCAGCTCAAGTGAACTCCCCTCACCTCCCCCGAGGAGATGCCCGTGGGGTGAATCTCCAGCAGCAAGGGGCATTGGCTAAACGAGGGGCCAGGCTCGCTAAGACTAGGCAGGAGGCCTAGCTCTCCCAAGGACCTGGCCCAGCTGGGTGTTGCCCCCTCGCCCCTGTCCTGGTGTGGCTGCCGGGAGCCAAGCAGGGCAGCCCTGGGTATCTTAGCAGGGCTGTACGGTCAAGCTGCCCTCCCCACGCGCTGTGCAGGGCCGGGGCTCTGCCTTGCATGCACCGTCATCGCTGCTTGCTGAGGCCGAGGCCCTGGCGCTGGGCAGGTTGGGGGGAGCACAGGCCCTTCCAGGAGTTTGGGGAGGTGGGGTGGAAATCCCTGACTCGGGGTTTTTTTGATTTTGTTTTTAGAGCTCCAGAAATCAGGCCTGGGAAGCCTGGGCCCGAGCGTTGCCATTGGCTACAGTGGCCAGGGATGGGGTGAGGAGTTGCCATGGCAACTGGCTGGGAAACTTCTGAAGCTGAGATCCCTGCATTTGGAGAAGAAGGGGGGGGGGGGGGCGTGCCTGGCTTGCAGCTGTAAGAGCTTCCCTCCCCAGTAATGGGGGGAGCCTTTAAGGCCCAACACACAGAGCAGGGCAGCTGGGGGGGCTGCATGCTGTAGGCCTGTTCTTGCTTCGGTGGTGGGGAGTAGGGCTTGGGGTGGGGTGGGAGTCTGGGGGCAGGAGCAAGAGGGACGGGGGGAGTGAGGGGGGGCGGGGTGATGTGCAGGGACTGGTACATTTATAAGGCCGTGGGGCTATGCAGGCCTGCCTCGCCCTGCCGTTCCTGCACCCCCGGCTGCTGCTGCATGGCAAGAGACAGCCACTCCACAGATGCTGAGGAGTCCCTGGGCCCCTGGCTGCGCTGGGAAGCGGGAGTGCACTGCAGGGGGCTCATTGCTGACTGGTTGGGCATTGCCCAGCCCTGTTAACCCGGTCCCCTAGGCCACACCAGCCCCTTCCCTCATCCATCCACCCAGCAGAGAGGGGCTGCCGGCTGGGCACTGTTCTAGCATGCTGGCTCTTGGCCCGGGTCCTACTGTGTCCGTTCAGCCAGAGTGGGACCTGCAGCCAGCGAGGTGGGGGTGAAGCAGAGGGATGCCCAGCTCTGCGGCCTTCATGCAGCCCTATGGAAGGGGAGAGGGTTTGAATCCTGCCCTTGAGTAGGCCTGTCCCAGCCCTGTACCTCCGAGCTCCTGCACTCAGGCCCAGTTTCAGAAGCAGCCACGTTTCTGTTGCCCAACCTCACAGTTGGTTCTTGGAGGGGCTGAGCCCCATGTAAGCCTCAAGGCCCTGAGCCGGAGCTGTGGGTGCTCAGCCCTGCTGGGAATCTGGTCCAAAGGTGGTGCTCCAGCTGTGGGTGTTTTAAGTGTAACGGCATGTGCCCTCAAAGCACAGCACCAGGGTATGTTTGTTAACCCCAGTCCTGGCCTGAGAGGCAGGTACCCATCCCCCAGGCAGGAAAACGGAGCCAGAGAGGGAATATGACTGGGCCCAGGTCATGCAGCAGATCAGTGCCAGAAACTGGCATGGAGCCCCTTACACGTGGCTCCCAGGCCTCTGCTCCAGCCACTAGCAGAAGGGAAGAGGTTGGGGCTGGGTTTTGCCTCCCTCCAAGTGAAGCCTGAGTGTGGGGTGCACGGGGCTGTACTGACCCCCTGTAACCAAATTGCTGCTGTCCTGCGCAGAGACCAGCTGGCGTCTGCCTGAGCTACGATTCAGCCTGGCTGCTCCTTGGGGGCTGGAAGCCCCTCGCCTGCACTAGCTGTAGTAGGCGGACAGCTGGGGGCTGAGGCGACCCCTCCGTGCTGCTCGCTGGAACCAAGGCTTGTCCAGAGCAGCCAGATAAGAGCCGGCCGGGCAGCTTCCCAGGTGCCAGAGTGCTGCAGGGAGCTCCCACTATGGGCAGGGGCAGCCCGAGGAGCCTACAACTCTGATGCTTCATTGGTAAGAGCAGGCCAGGCTCTACAAAGCGATCCCCCAGATCTTCCCACGGTCTGGCTCTGGGCTTCAGGCTGGGCCCTTTGCCCCCTGCAGCAGTGGGCAAGGCTGCTAATCCAGCCTTGGGGAGGCAGGCCTGGGAACCTTGCCAGCTTCTGGCATGCGTGTGCTGTGTGACCTGGGCTTTGGTAGGTGGGTCCCTGAGATTCAGCAAGGCACCTCCCTGCCTTTATCTCCAGCCACCTGCTGTTAATGCCCCAGCCGGCGGTCAGAGATGGCCACTCCCCAGCGGGCTGGATTGGGTGACGCCTTGCACAGAGCAACTCCCAGCTGAGCCTGGCTCAGTCTGGCCCAAACCAGTGAGGCCAGGCCTAAGGGAGGGAGCAGCCTCCCAGCAGAGGGTTTCCCCTGGCTCACTAAGGTCTTGGGTCCCAGCTTGGGCCATGCAGGCCATCCCCAGCAGGGACTGTGCTAAGCACTAACTGCAGGGCTCCCCCAGCCCCATGGGGCTGGAACTCCCTGTGCAGCTAAGCACCCCGTGAAGAGGGGTGGGACTCTTATGAGAGGGCTCCTTGGCAGCAGAAATCCCAGTGCAGCTACCCCCCCCCAACAGCTGCTTCATGAGGCTGCAGAGGCTGCTTCCCCCCTCTCCCCCCCATCTTTGTTATTGTTTGTGTATGTCCTACTCACCTCCCTGCTCCCAACCTGGCCCGAGAGCTTCTCCTCTGCAGCAGCCTCTCTGCATCTCTCCTCCGTCCTTGCTGTCCCTCTCCCCCACAATCCCTTCCTCAAACCCTCTCTCCCCCGAGCGCTCTGGGAGGCAGGATTTTCACCCCGGATTCGGCTGGGTGGGAAGTGAAAAGTTGTCGGATAGACGGGCACCACCTGAGCTGATGGCCCAGTTTTCACCATCAGTTGCAACAGCACCTCTTTAAAGGCAGGGGCCTGCTTCACCACGGCATGGTGCAGCCCTGAACTCCAGTGCAAAATGGGGGTGAGAGCTGTGAAAAGGGGAGACTCCTTTTCAAACTGGCCATGGCCCTCCCTTGCCGATTCCCTGACTCCAGGGCTCAGCTGCTGCCCACCGCTGCACCCTGCAGAGGGCAGAGCTGAGCCCAGTGTCTTGGTGGCCCACACGGATGTTAAAGAAGGGGTGGCAGCAACATTTGGGTGAACTCTGACCTCCCTGTGACCCCTCCAAAATGAACCAAGTCTTCACAAAGAAACCCCAAGACTTTCCCCGTTGCTCCTTAGCATTGGGATTGTCTGGAACAGGGGTTCTCAGACTTCTTTGCATGCAACCCCCTTCTGACAACAGAAATTACGACATGACCCCAGAAGGGGGCATGGAAGTCTGAGCCTGCCCGAGCCCTGATGCCCCAGTTCGGGGGACCCTGCTGCCTAGGGCAGGGGGTCCCAAAGTCTGAGCCCCACTGCCCTGCACCGGGGGGGGGGGCGGCAAAACCTGTGGTGTGGTGTCAGCCCTGGGTGGTGGGGCTCAGGCTTCAGCCCCAGGAAGTCTAACACCAGTTCTGGCAACCCCATTAAAACAGGGTCGCGACCCACAGTTTGAAGAACTGCTGGTCTGGAATGTGCAAGAGAAGCAGAACCACCTTGCTTCTGTGGGTGAAAATGGGCTCAGCAATTGGGAAGGGAAGAGGGGTCCATTTAAAAGGGTTTTAAAATGAGCTAGGGGGTTTTCCTGCTTCGGACTTTAAAAAAATAAATAAGTCCCACA